TATTGTACTTTATTGCTCTCTGTTTTTATATGAGTGCTTAGATGTATTTTTATAAAACATAAGAGTGATAGTTTAATTTAGGAATTCAGAATCTAGTACCAATTTATACATAAGCAATATAGCTAATTAAATTCATCATGAAGAGCTGCATAGTCATCCTCTCCACAATGACCATATTACATTATGAACTGGGGCCGATGACAGATGAGATGGTTTGTAGTCTTGTAATTTGCAGTAACTCAATGCAATATTTTACTTGGTATTCATACTCCCAAAAAGCCTCAACAGGATCTATGATTTCTGGTCTAGACACAGCACAACAATGTTTCTGATATCTAGTTCTCTAGATTCAGACTAAAAGGAAAAGGCAAAACCCTTAGATCTGTACGTGACAATTATAGCAACAACAATAGCTAACACTTAATTGAGAACTAACAATGTGCCAGATGCTCTCTGTACGATGTCTCCTTTAATTCTAACAGTAACCTATGGTTTAGGTTCTATTAGGATAAGATATATGCTCAACATCACATGCTAGTAAGAGGAATAGTCAAGACTTAACTCCTTGTCCCCAAAGCCCATGCTTATTACCATTACACTGTGTCCTCACTGTTTCATCTTACATGTATAGAAATTAATACTCACAGAGGCAAATTAGCTTAATCAGGATCTCTCATGGAGTTAAAAGCAAAGCCAGACTGGAAATTAAGCCTCCAGACTTCCTTGTTAAGGGCATTTCTTAATAGTCATACTGTTTCAGTTTAACAAAACCCCCTCCCCAAATGTTCTGAACAAAATATAAGATTATGAACTACATATGCCACCAGATCTGAATAGTTTACCCACTTATGTCATAAGTTAATAATAAATAAACATTAAATAAACATTCATTCTACAGTGTTTCTTGGTGACTAGGTATTGTGCTCTGTCCTAAAGACATAATAAAGGAGCAAGATACTAATTGGCATTAATCCATCACTTTCATTCATTTGTATAATAAACGTTTACTGAGTCCTCTATGCCATGATCTGTATTATTTCCAATGAAATCATATTTTGAACTGTCTCATTTATTGATTTATTTAGTGCATATCAATTGGGTGCCTACTAATTTCCTGTCACCGTGCTGAGCACAGGATATACAATTGTGAAAAGATACAGGTCCTGATCTCAAGGGGCTTGTGATCTATTTGCAGAGACAAACAAATAAATAGGCATTAAGTATAATATGATATATATGCTACTGTAGTACCAGGTGCTATGGGAGTACCTAGAAAGGGGACCCAGAGACACTTCATTAAACCAAGACCTAAGTGACAACAGATGTAATGTAGGAAAAAAAGGTATAAAAGAGCATTTCAGAAAAAAAGGATCACAATTCTGACTTTGAGTTTGAACCATAAAAAGCAGGAAAAATCCAGTAATTTATTTCTTTAATAATTATCCATTCATTTATCAAATTTTATTGAAAATACTAACACTTTATTTTTTCTTAGCTTATTATCACTCAGAATGTTCAACAGATTTTGTCACATGAATAAATGAAGGTTATCACATGATGTATTGAATGCCTGTTGACAATCTCTAGTCATATCTTTTTTTTCTTGATAAATTATTAATAAACAATAAAGAACCTGAATTCACAAATGAACACCAGGGTTATATAAACCCCTGAGGCTGACTCACAAAATCGTGTTTAATTTGAGTCTTATTCAGGAAAATGGGAGTGGGAAAAAGCTATGCTCTAGAAATCTAAAGTCCAATATGGAAGCTTCTAGACACACATGGTTATTTAAGTTTAAATTTATTTGAACTGAAATGAAAGTAAAAATTCAGTTATTCAGTCACACATTCTAGTGCTTAATAGCCATGTTGAAATGCTTCAGAGCGGTATGCTACCATATTGAACACTGCATAACATTTCCATCATTGTAAAAAGTTCTATTAGACAGTCCTACTCGAGAATCTAGATTATGAGCTTCACTAAATCATTGGTAATTATCACAGTGCTGAAGAAATGGTACATACTCAATGGTTATTGATATTTTTGTATTTAGCCTTATTCTCTTTTAATAGCAAATTTTTAGTTGTGAAAGTAGAAACCAACATGTACATAAATCATTTAACATATTTTATGTAGCAATCAAGGTAAAAAATTGATAAATGGGCTGACAGTCTCTGTCCTAAATTTGGAATACCAGAAAATTTCCCAGCTGTTAGTGCAGCATGGCCACTCAGGCAAGACTGACAAAGCAATTTCAAAAGTGACAAATTTCAATTCCATGACCCCTCATGTTGCATTGTCCACTTTCTGGTGGAGGTGATAATGAGTAGTATCACTGCCAAGGATGTGTAAAGCAAAAGAGAGAAGGAGTTGCCAAGGCCTTGCAGAATCTACTTTGAATAATGAAGAATTAAATATCGTTCATCTTAAACTGATTTTCCAGACATAGTGCCAAGAAGCAAACAAGTAACTTTATAGACTTGGTATCAGAGTCTGAAAAGGTTTCAGAGGAGGCATTTGGCACCTGCATCTGAGTTTAACTCACTTTATGAATAGTTCCTCCACACCCATTAGGATATGTATAATTAGTTTAATGTATTCACTACACTGGTTTATATGCTTATAACTGCACCAGCTCAACAATATCCAAACGGTCATAAGGTGAGAAAGTAGATTTAGAAGATCAATGATTATTAAACATTAGTTAATGTATTTGCTTATTTATTTACATCACTCCAAAAAAGAATTAAAAATAGTCAAGAGTAGCCAATCATAGGAACCTAACACGCCTAGGTTTTTGTTTTGGTTTTGGTTTTGGTTCTTTGTTTTGTTTTCTTTTGCTTTTGTGACACAAAAGACACATTTTGTAAGCCATGTTAAGTTTGCTAAATATGTTTTGGCCAGTCTTTGGTTTCTGTGTTTTCTTAGTGTCAGCAACTTTGACCCTAGCTGAAAGTGGCTAGAAATGTTTGGCAAATGTGACAATGCGAATATTCTACAAGGGGCATTGAAAATAAAAGCAAAAATGGAATTGCTGACTCTACCCTCAACCTGGAGCCATTGTACAATTAGAACAGCTGTTGCAAAGAAATATTAAAATACCAGGCAGGCAAAGGAAATGAACTTAAAATTTTAAATACAAATAACTAATAAATATGTGGGAAAATATTAAGCCTCAATAGTCATCAAAGAACACAATTTAAACAAGAAATAAGGTGATATATCTACCTTTCATATTAGAAAAATCTTTCATGAAATGAGAAAACCTAATTCCGGTGCCGATGTAATGAAAACTCTCTCATACATTGGTGTCTTAGAGAGTAAATCAGTAAAACTGTTTAAGAATAAAGTTTATCAGTATGTATCAAAAGTCTTCAGATATGCCATTTGACATTAATCTCACCCCTCAAAATATAAATAGTCTGTGAAATTGGGAAATTCCCATTGAAAAGATATACTTTTTGAAGTGTTTATATCCAAATTTGAACAACCTAAACTTGAGGAATGATTAAGTAAATCATACTGAATACAGAATCATTAAAAATATTTTAAGCAGGAGTTTTAATGACTTGGAGAATTGCTGATATTTAGGGGGAAAAGCATTACATAATTGTATATTGGATTGGACATGAGCTCAATGATACAAAGAATATATGAGAAATACTCCAAGTATTTTAACAACTGTCCTCTCTCAATAAGATTTTATTCTAATCACTTTTCAAAAATTCTACAGAAAACAAGTATAAGTTCACATTTGTCAAAATTAGATAGTAATTCTGACTGATCCATAAAGCAAAATGTTGATTAAGTTACATTACATATAACTTTACTCGATGAGTAGATCTTAAAACAATTGAATTGGAGCAAACTTTAGTGGAGGAAAGTAGTGGTTGTAGAACATATCTCAAAAAAAATTATTAAGATACAGACAAATGTTTATGACATCACAATCCAGAAGATAAGAAGCAGCATTGTCCTGGAACTTTAACCTCCTAATGGTACAGAGCAATTTTTCTGAAGAATAGAAAGAACTTCATGTGTGATGTATAAAGTATTTTCAACATGAAGTGGCTGACGAGAGCATGGAATCTGGAACAAGAGGCTACAACTACTAATTATATTTAACTTTTTCACAAATTAAAAACTAGCTCCATATACACACACAGAGTAATACCTACTTTTCATGATTGTTAGCAGGTTTGAAAGAGCTTTGTGTGTATCTTCCATGATGCCCAATATAAAACATGTTCAATAAAAGTAGCTATGAACTTGCTTTCCAAGAGAGAATAGAAATCACTGGTTGCAGAATTGAAAAATAGGCCATAGTCACATATCAAGAGTGAAGTCCCAAGAATTACACTACCATAATGGAGAGTTTGAGATGAGCAATATTTAGAAATCCAAACAGGTAACACTAGGGAGTTCAGTCAATGAGTAGTATTAGGTAAAATGATGGATTAGCTAAAAGTTTAGCAACGAATAACTACTTTATAAGTATTAAATATTATCCCAACAAAACTCATGTTTTGCCCAAGTGATACAATGCTTTCAGAACTGCAAAGTTCAATAACACCCCATGCCTAGCTGTGTATGGTATAAGCCCTTTATCCTGGGGCTTATGACCTTATACAGTCCAAACTGCCTTTCAGTCTTCACTTCCTATAATATCACGTATATGCCTGATACTTCAGACACACACACAAAACTACTTGATGTTTGTGTGTCCTTTTGTATGTGTCTTTGATCTTGTGTAAATTCCCTCTGCTCACAATTTGTTGAATAAACAACTGAATGAATGGAAAATTATAGAGATAATCTTATAGCATCAAATTATCCAACATTTTGTTTAAGCATTAAAAAAAAAACAGCATAGAGCTCTCTTTGAATCTCTGCTAATGTTGCACAGATTGATTTTTGATGACTTTTTGTTGTCTGTTCATATGTTTCTTAAAATAAATATGTGAATTTCAAAATTGACATGATCATTTGGTTTGCAGCGGCTGCCGCAGCAGACATGGCTTACCACCATATCAGACCTCCCATTGGCTATTCCATTCCCAAGCCCATATCATCTCTGCTGATGCGAGGGTGGAATGCATGTCCTGAAGTGAGTAATTTTTATTTCCTCTTAGAAAATGTGTTATGGTCAAAATCTGTCACAAATAGTGTAACTCCAAAGTCTACTTTCAGTGTGTATTTTAAGACTGTCAAGGCAGGAAGACTGATTTGCCTTCTGCTCTTTAGTCTCTAATTGCCTCAAGAAGTCTGAGTATCTCATATTTCTTTGCTGCTGCTCTCTGATTTTGAAATGTTTCTCACAACTGATTAGCAAAAGAGAGACCCGGGAATGACAGATGACTCACAGTCTCATCTCAGCTGCAATTTTATTAACTAAGCTTGAGCCACAGTTAGTCATTTTCTGAAGAAAGAAGTTTGGCACAAGATGGATTTGTGTTGGCTTTTCACCGTGAGGCAGGCCTTCAGGCAAAGGCCCCATGACAAGTGGTCTTTAGAAGCACTGGCTCAAGCTGGAGACAGGAGATCTAGCCCTAGTCCATCTCAACATTAAGAAGTTAACTGCTTCTGGATGTGACATACCTGAGTCATCATGGCATTACACAGTAAGGTCTTCATGTGAGTAGCCTGAGTATTGAGGAAAAGGGAAACAATGAGCTGGTTTTCTTGCTTTCCCTCAATAGTTATTTACTGAGTCTCTACTATATACAGCCCCAGGAACAAGTTCTAGGGATTCAGTGAAGATACATTCTCCATGGAGCCTGCAGACAAATGGAGATTAATTGAATAAACACATTAATGATTTTATAGTACAAGGCAGACAAGGAAAACAAGATTAGATGAGAAGGCATACTACAGGAATTGGCAAGTGAGTGTAGGTCAGGAAAGGCTTATTGGAAGAAGTGACACTAGACAAATAAGTTTGCTGAATGAAGGGGGTTGATGAGAGAGAAAAACAGTACAAGCAAACTGAAAGGATACAAGGGAGAGACTTATTAGTTATGGAAACATGTGGCCACTGAAGGATTAAATGTCTATACCATCATTTGAAACAAGTCCACCCATCGCTTCTCTGCCTTTTGGCCAAGATCATTAGATCTGAGACCTAATACCATGCTCTCCTGGCCATTGCTTTCTAGGTTATCAAGTTTAAAAATCACTCTTTTTTTCTTATTTGTCTTTGCCTCACTTCTTGAATTTGGAGCATATTATTATTTCCTATGTGTATCTTCTCAGTCAAGACCTACAAAGATGGGAGAGGGGGGAAGAGTGAGAACAGCAGCCTATAGGAAATGGGAAATGCTAGTTGGAAAACAGTGAGAGGTGGGAAAAAAGTCCTATTAGATCAGATTTTGGAAAGCTTTGGAAATCAGAATAAGGAATTTGGATATGAAATTCCAAGCAATTATGTTTTTGTCTCTAAAGCCGTGCAGAGATATGATAAAAGCAATTTTTTTTTTGAAAATCCATCTGAATGTGGTATGAAAGATTAACTTAAAGGAATTATATGTAGTTCCCATAGTGAGACAGGTGCTGAATTATCTTCTAGTGTGCATTGGGATAGTTGAGCATTGTTTCTCAACATGTAAGCTACCTACTACATGCTCCAGTGTACCTGGGAATATTTGTTAAAATGAAGGTTCTAGGGCCCTATTCTAAATCTACTGAATCAAAATGTCTGGGATGGAACCTGGGACTTGGCATTTTAGCAGGCACCTCAGGCAGTCTGCACCCAGTAATGGCAGAGAATTCGAGGGCTGAAACAGAGCAAAAGACACAGAGTCAGAGCTTCTAGCTGGGCTGCTAGCACATTAATCCAGTTGATTACAACACAAAGACTATAATGGTTACCATGGGGATTCAGGAGCAAGGGTAAACCTAACTACTTCAAAGGAAACAAAACATCCTAAGGAGGCGAAGGCCGGATTTAGGAAATGGAGAAGAGGAAAGAGCCCTGAAGAACTGTCAATGGCTGCCTTCTGAGAATCAGCTAGTGACCAGAGTACTGGTTCATTAGGCCCTTAGGTATCAGGGATATTGTTGACAGTGAGAGGAGAAAAAAAGCCAAGAGCTCTGCAGCAAGGTGAAGATGCTTTAAAAAAAAAAAACATAGAGAAAGGAAAAAAAAATAGCTACCAAGAGATTAAAAAAATTAATCTGGTATACAAAACTTAGGGAACTGTCAATTAGAATAAAGTTACTGCGCAAGAAGTTGGCATAGCCACTCTTCTCACCTTAAAGGCGCTTAACCAAATGAAGTAGGATCAGGGAAGGCAGACAGATGGCATAGGAGCTAAGCCCAAGCAGAGAGGCTGAACAAAAATAGAGGGGAGGGAAGAGGAGCTGAAATTAAAAGCAAGGAAGTTTTAAACCCAGAGAGAAAACAGAAAGAAGGGAAGGAATAAGGTTAGGGACTTTCAAAATAAGAAAGTTACATCATTTGCTGGCAATTCTGAATAGGAGAGAAAATAGAAGATAGGTGGGTCATCCAAGCAGTATTTACATTGTTCTCGTAGTCCTTTAGGCTTTACCATTTGCCAAATGTAGATACAAAGATACTGATATATAAAGATATATTAGAAAATATATAAAAATATAAAAATATATTAGATATATAGGTAGCATTAGAGAAAATACAACCTTATTTTCCCTACTAGGAAATATAAAATATTATAATATTCTATACCATGAAGGTATGCTTTGAATGTTTTTCTGGGATATCAAAAATAAAATGGTTTGAGTATACCTCTATCTTTCCAATAACTGTGGCTTTGAATGAGAAAGGCTTATTCTACTATTACTTTTAAATCTAATATTTATAAGGACATTTAATTTCTTTGCAGAAGGAGTACTCACACCAAACAATAGTGACGTGCTAAACTCAAGAGATCAAACCTTGAAAGCTTACATAATGGGTTATTTAGTTTTCAAAATCTTAAGTTAATAATAATTGGCAATAAAGCTTGTTAAAATTCCTTTTGTTCAGGATCCATTGTGTTGATCTTGAAGTCCCATTTGTTCTTTTAAAATGATTGAAGCTGAGATCCCCACCTAGTGGATTTACAGGATTTTACAGGTTTTACAGAACTAGCCTACTACCCCTGGAAGTCCTTAATTTTTTTTCTCTTATTGAAATAACAGGTTTTAAAAACTCTACTTAAGATCCAGGATAATTGTCAACAGTTGCAAATGGTTGAAATATACCAATATGCATATCAGCTAGACTACAGTTAACAAACAAATCTCAATTTTTATTTTCATACCATAATTAGGAAAACAGAGCAGGCACAAATATGAATATATAATCATCTGTGTAGAAAGCAATATTGTAATACCACTAATTGAGATGTGTATGGTAATTTCCATAAAATAAACATCAAGTGTGAATCTGTTCAAAGTACTTTTTCTTATTTAATCTTTCATTTGCTTAAGGCTTTTTTTTTTCTTTAATGTTTGCTTTCTTTTCCCAGACTAGGCAAAACTTTTCTTTCCCATTTTTCCATTCTTAGAGAAGCAAACTGAGTTAATTGGGTCAAACATATCTGTGGCTCCGTCTCTGATTTTTGCATTGTATTCAGTCATGTACTTTTATTTCATTGATAACAATGAGTTGCTGAGGATTTTCCCTCCAAAATAATGCATTGGAAATGTATGCAAGACTAAGAGGGTGTTTGCGTGTCCTTTTGAAGAAAACAGAAGTAGGAAATGATTATTAGTTGAGTTCTGCCTCTAAAGGTGATATATTAGCATAATCAGCAGGTGGTGGATACAGTGTAGGTTTTGGAGGAGAGTTTTCAGCTTCATTTATTCTTCTAGGAATTAGAGACACCTTACTTTTGTTCTCAAAATTAGCATCTTTTAACTCTGATAAGGAGGAAAGCACTTCATGTCTCTCCGTTCTTACTGTACCTTCTTTATGTGCATTGTTATCTTTATCTGGTTGAATAATGCCTCCCAAATCTTGCATATTACTGCTTATTTCACGACAAGAAGGTCTATTTTCAGTTTCGGGGGAACATGTGATACTCAAATACTTAGCTGTAACAGTAGCCTCAACAGAGCTTGAATCATACAACAAATGTTTTTCACTTTTTCCATTTTCCCAAGTTTGCTGCATTTCTTTTCTGCTGTCTTTTAGGGTCATCTGTGAAGTCCTAATTAATGTACTAGAATTTGCCTCACTTTCATTGAGCATTCTCTTCTTTTTCTGTTTTTATCTGTAGTGCTTCAGTGCCATTATCTCTGGGCAACACATGTGTACCGTCGATCTCTTTTTTGCCACTATTGCTTAGATTCCAAATGGCTTGAGTACCAAGAGAAGTATTGATATCTTTGGGAATCTCTGTTCTATTTTGGTATGGAATAGAATTTGTCTTCATCAGTGTTAGGTCACCCTTGCCTTGTGTCTCAGAAGGAATGCGAGAGGAATCAAAAGTTTCTGTTTGAAAAAGTTTTTTTCCTATTTCATTTCCCTCATCCATAATACAACTTTCGACAATTTGATGTGATATTTTCAGTTTTGTCATTAATGTTTTTTCTTCATTTCTAAGTTGTTTATGACTTGAGTGTTGCTCTACATGTTTTAAAGTTTGATTTTGATCTAAAGTTTGTTCCTTATAGGTGTCAGTCCTGTGGACATCTACAAGTTGTGTTTGATTCCCCAAGGACAAAGAAAACTGATTTAGCTCAATGGCCTTTGGTTTGTCCTGCTCCATGTGCTGGATGGGCTCTGCTGCCTCTTGGTCAGTAGTCCTGTGGGTACTGCTAGGTGGTAAAACATCACTTCCTATATTTACCCAGGTAACTGGTAAATGCCCAGGAACTTCCAATGCAAGGGGAGTCACACTTTCCATATGCTCAGCTGAGAACTGAGAGCTTGAATGCCTGTGTTCAGCTATGATGGATGTAGGCTGAGGCAATGTTGATGGGCTGCTAGCAGGAATGAGGCCAGTAGGGTGACAGTTGCCTTCCATAGAGCTCTGGTTGACTAGAGGTGAGTCATTAGCACTGAGCAGAGGAGTCTTTTTAGTGTTATTTTGGTAATGTGGGGTCTGCTTTGGAGCATGTTTGAGAGGCACACTCTTTGAAATG